TCGAGGAATCTCCAGACGTTTACATCCTTTTACTGGCTCATAAATACCTTTACCGTCTTTCTGTCCAGACCAACTATCGGAAAGAAGTAGTGTCTTATGCGAAGGTAAGAAAGAAATGAGACACTTATCACGCCAATATTCGACTAATGATGACGTTAATTTACCGGATGTACTACATGTAACAACAACATTTTTCATTTGTGGAGGATTCGCTTTAATGTTGTCGCTCATTCCGACCACTTGATTCTTTGAGATAGATAGACAGGACCGACGATCTTGCCACTCATGCTTATTGTCAGTTGAATAGTGTAACTATGAGTAGTTTCATTTGTCGAACGTACAGCGGCAAGCGTCATCTTCTCGCCTTGATAAGACAGAGTTCGAGTAGAGCGAAGTTCGATCTCAAGTCCAGACTGATCTGTATTCAATAGGGGTATGACAGTTCCATATCAGCTCCTATCATAGGAACTGTTGAAAAGTGCTTTTGAAAGGAGCTGATATGTTTGAACAGCTCTTTGAAAGGAGCTAACATGTTCCAGCAGCTCACTAGCCGTCTAGACAAAATTTAAACGTCTCGAATGTTCACTAGACGTTCATACAAGGGGGGAAAAGCGGACTCCTGGACTCCTATGAGCTCCTGGACTCCCATGGACTCCTGGACTCCTAGACTCCCATGGACTCCTGGACTCCCATGGACTCCTGGACTCCCATGGACTCCTGAAGTCCAGGAGCAAAGTATTCTTTTTTGGGAATCACTTCCCAAAAAAGAACACTTTGCTCTTGGACTCCTGGACTTCAGGAGCGCCCAGTGCTTTGAGTTGAGCAAGCTCTTGCTTTAGCAGTAGTCGTTGAAAAAATTTCAATTTTTAAAATTTCAAAAGAGCTGTTCAAACATATCAGCTCCTTTCAAAAGAGCTGTTCAAACATATCAGCTCCTTTCAAAAGAGCTGTTCAAACATATCAGCTCCTTTCAAAAGAGCTGTTCGAACATATCAGCTCTTTTCAAAAGAGCTGTTCAAACATATGAGCTCCTTTCAAAAGAACTGTTCAACAGTTCTTTCGCTCAAATGAGCCGAACTTATGAGCTGGAACTGTTACAGGCCTAGTATTCAACACTAAATCTTCTTTGTAATGAGGCAATAATACTTTGACTTCAGTAACAAAGAAGATTCAGTGTTTGAGTGCAAGTTGCTTCTAGCAGGAGTTATGAATTTTTCAAGTTATCAGCCAAATTTCCAATTTTGCCCTTGAATCTTGATTTTCTTGAAGAGACAATGACGTAATGAACTGAAATTTTTACTGTGGCTATTACAAGTGGTGGTCTTGATTACCTGAAAGTTTCAGCTCAAAAGGATAAGGCTATGAGCAGAAACAAATTTTTCGACATTTTCTTCCTAACTTAGTACCTTTCCATGTTTCACTGCTCGATGATTGAGGGTCCGTTTCAGCGGATTTTTTCAGACTAACTATTCTCAAGTGAAGACAAGCTATTTATAGGAAAATTTTGAAACTAATCCGTTCTCTTTTCATCGAACTAGAAGACAACTTTATAAATAGGCGTTAATCTCGTTCTTCTTGTATGTATGCGTGAATATCAAAGAAAAAAGAAAGAAAGCAGAAGGGATTGTATTGCGTTTATCAGATGCTGTCTTCGTGATGGCATGGCTGGGACGGTGCAGGAAATAGAGAACAGAAAAATTTTATCGGTCGGCAGTGTGAAGAGAAAGAATATTATAGTTTATCACACTGTCTCGAAAATAAAAAATGAGTGGAGTAAATCGAATCGTGCAATTGCTTCTGAAACGAGCTTCTTAAGCGCTCCCAGCTCGATTACCAATTACTCCTTTCCAAAAAGAAGAACTTGCCGGTGACTTATTCAATGTGCTCGAGTCAATATTGACAAGCAGCTCGTATGATCAAGAGGATGAAACGACTCTAGACCACAATACATCAGACAACGAAACAGACGGATGCGAGGAAGATCGTGATGATCCATCTCACGATCCAGATTATGAAGAAAACAATGAAGAAGAGTCGGCATTCGAATCATTTTCCCTGTCGTATATGAAACGAGTAATTGCTTATTATGACGCCATTAACCCAAAGACTGGACAACGATCACACACATGGAGAAACGTTCAAAGCAAGTTCAAAAGAATTTCTCATCAATCATATATGGCGCGTTTCCGAGGCTATGTTGAAGAAGGAGGAACGAAGAAACAAAAAGTCGATTCATTGGATGACTATATTTACGATAATTTCGAGCGAGCTTGAGATCTTCTCTGTCCGGTTCATGACATGGACTTGAAACGATGGGCTATGACACAAGCCAGGATCATGTCATTGCACGATTTTGTGGCGTCAGACACTTGGCTATTAAACTTTAAACACAAGCATGATATTTGTTCGAGAAAAATCATTAAGGTTAGAAAAGCTTTGTTATGATTATTATGACGCCATTAACCCAAAGACTGGACACACACATGGAGAAGTTTATGCGGTAATATCGATCTCCAAGTTACAATCCTCAAAATAACGTTACTGAATGAGTACTGAACCTAGAAAACATTTATTATAACATCTAGTAACGGTAAATTACGTTTATGTCATATACAGTTAAATGGTAATAAAAATTGTAAAACTGGTATAACTTATTCTGAAGAAATTATCGATAATAGAAAATGTACGTTTTGATTCCCCCTCTGCATTTGCTGATCGTCGCATGCATAGTATTTATTTTATGAATATACGTAGTTTGTTAGGTGAATCATCCAAAAACAGTAAACTTGAAAAATTCTATTTTGTACGTGAACTAGTGTAGTCCAAAATCCAAACTCAATATTAATAAATATAGATGAATCTTGGTTCTATCACAAATAAGATCACGTTTAACTGCGTGAACAAAATTACACATTGTACAATTGTTCTCAAGCATATAAAATATTTCTAGAAGTCTTCATATGAAAATTTCTGAAAACGTGTTACGTGTTGCTTCATTTAGGAGTAAGCATGTATAAAAAATGTTCGTTTGAAACTAAACGTCAGTAGAGTGAAGAAGTTAATTTTCTATCGTACACACACATGTTCATGGCATGAAACTAATCAATTCTCCCTACATAGTCACATTGTCTTCACAAATATTTCGAATTAAAATTCAGAATACGTTTTTCTAGTTTACGTGAATATCACACCAAAATTGTTAGTAGTTGTTTTGCTTAATGGAAGATTTATTATTCTTTTCATTATTTTTAATTAATTAACTCTGTGTTTCTGTTGATGGAATGTGTTCTTATAGTTTATCAACATCTCAAAGTGTCGCAAAACTCACAGGAAATTCATTGAAATAGGTAATATGGTAAGAATATAGTGAAGATAACGTAATGCTTTGTTGAATAATGTTGCTAAAGGGAAGCAAGGATCGCATTGAGAAGCATTAATCTGTTATACTTCGATATTGAAATCCAAATGATTATTAGTGTTGCATTCACCGGCGAAACTGAATGATAGTTTTTACTTTTTCAATCATTTTCAATACTTCATTACGATATCCACGTGTACTCATTGTATAGACATAAAAACTTGACGCTGAATTAAAATTGACAATAAGATGGCATAAATTTAATGTGTAACGGAATTCAATAGGAAGATATGGATTATAAATAACATATAGGTAGACACATGCATATGGTAGGGTAAATAAAAGATTTGTAATCACAAAAACAAATAACATTTTCACTAATTCCTGCTCACGTTTTCGCCGACGAATTGATGAAGTGTCGCCGATGCTAGTAACACGCTGGCCCTGTTGTATTATATTCCATATTGTCAATAAGCAAAATAAACACATTAATGCAGGTGGAAGAAAACATAGATATATGAGAACAAAAAGAGCCGAAAACTGATAATCTCGCATTGTACTTCCTGGGGTACAGACTGATCCAAATGATGAAGGGACGGAAATAATAGTGTAATTCAACAGTACATGTGAATAGACTATTAAATTAATAATAACTGTTAATGCTGTTGAGTAATAGGCTATTTGCAGTTTGGCGACTTTTCTTAATCGTGAATTTGGTGAACTTGTGCAAAATCGATCAGCACATGCAAGAACAGTAAAATAACGACCGAGCGTATAGAAAATAAAGACAAAATAATTTTGTGTTTTACAATAAAACTGAGAGTATGTGGTTGGGTCGATCTCATACTGATCGGATAACCATTGTAATAGAGCAATAAAATAAATTACAAATAAATCATTGATTGATACACAGCGAAAGTAGAATGCACAAGATGATGAACATAACGGTTTTTGTGTCAGTATAACTATGTTCAACACACAACCAATCGTACCAAGGACAATAATTAACGGCTGAGTGTACAAACTAAATGCATTGTAAACGAACAATAATCCACTAGATGAATAGAAAAATGATGGTAGTGCTGAAGAATTGGACGAATTGAGAAACGGTGATGAAGAATTCATTCTCGACTTATTGAATGACAAACACACAAGCAGTAAGTAACAAAAATTCTTATTAAAATCAGAGTTTTATATATAGTTAATCTAAGTATTCCGTCAACCATATTATCATTAATATGAATAGACAATTCTCGTCCTGATTCATTGATATCGATAATTGTTATGAAAAAGACACGCATGGCGTTTCAAACCAAAAAAAGGAACGTTATTATGTTCAAAACTTATACTTAAGACATCTTTGTAAATATCTTCGGGTATACAATGTTTTCCGTACCCAAGCAAATATTACCTATGGGAAAAATCTAGATACATTTCGTTTGTAATCGGGTGATACACGCGTAGTTGTCCTCTAGATTACTAGTCAGAAAAGGACTTTTAACTAGACGCGTTTGTGCGTTTTTCTGACGCCTGGGTACTCACGAAATGAACTTTCAAAGTCTGATTTCAAACTTAATTTACTTCATTTTTTTTCTTTGAAACTTTATACGTGTCCTTTTCTTCATGATTATCCGTATCAGTGAACATTATTTCTCTGAATGAAAGATTTTTTCATTTACATCCGAGAAGCCGTTAAAAGTAACTAAATGCAAGTAAATAAATGTAGAACGTAGAAGTGGACTATATTCTACGCCCTCTAGATGACAACTAGTGAGTTTTGTAAAGCTCTGTATAGGTTTTCGACCATGTAGATTCTGATGCACATATGCTCTCACATGTGTCATATATACGTATGTGTATGTGAACGCTTTCTTCACAATACCATTCTTTTACCTATAAAGTGTATGTATTGAATCCAAACCAATCTGAAATTCGGATTCAGTATGTCACTTTATGGGTAAGTTTGTACTTTTTCTCGTTCCTGACCCTAGCCAAATAACAGGATCTTGGCGGGATTTCTAGAAAAACACTGTTTAGTCTGCGACGCCATTGTTAGTGTGAATTCAGCGGGAAGCCGCGAATGACTTGGGAATTCATACATTTACTTTAAAAGTTCTGTATGTCTACTACAATTTACTCAAAAAAGAGTAAAATGAGATAATGTTTCATTCCAATAAAAAATTGATTTTATTGCCGCTAGGTGTCAGCTAATATCATGATTTTTCAGATTGAGTCGCTAATAACTTAATAACCGTTTGCAACTTTCAAAAATCGAAAAGTCGAGATCTGTTAAGTTGTAAAGCTGAATTTTAACACCAAGCTGAACTTTCTGGCGTTTAGAATGGCTGAGAAATCTGGGACGCACGAAAACGTCCAAGCGAAAAAATCTGTTTTGAGAAAAATGCAAAATAAGTTTCAATACTGTAATGCAAGACTTTTTTTCCAAAAACTGATAGTGAACAGAAACTTTAGTGTTTACAAAAAACCAGCTGTACTGGATCTACTCCTTCTGTTTTTTTCCGTATTTTATCAAGGAGCTTACGAGAAAGATACATTAGGAAAAAATCGAAACATCCGGATCTGTTAAGTTGTAGTCCCAGGTCCAGCTCAACATTTTACTGTGAGGTGCCTAACCAAAGATACACCTGTGAAAATTTCAGCGAGATCGGATAATCGAAAGCAAAAATAAATTTTTGAGTGGGGACTGGGCCTTAACGATCACTTACCATGAGCTGGAGCTATTTTAGGTAACGACATTCCATTTTTTCTTGAAAGCTGCCTTTATGAGATATTTTCAACGTTCATCAAAAGTTCAAAAGCCATCTTTTTTCGTTTTTACTGTTATTTGTACATGAGCGATTTGCGCTCGTATTGTACCATTCATATCCGGCATGTAAAAATGCTATAACTTTTTTGCTAGTGAATGAATCTTAGTTGAATTTTTATATGTTATTCATCTAAACCATGCTTACTATTGCTGGAAAAACAAGCTGAAAGTTGCAAATGGTTATTGAGTTATCCAAGTTACCCAAATACCTTGAGCCGTATTAAGGAGAAGGGATTTACAGGGATGAGTGGTTGTTCGGTTGGTTTGAAAATGTAGACAAGACCTGGGGCTACAACTTAACAGAACCGCATTTCGATTTTTCATAATGTATCTTTCTTTTAAGCTCATTTGATGAAATACGAAAAAAGCAGGGTGGGTAGAGCCAGCGTAGTATGTTCTTTGATGTTATGAAATATGCTCAAGTAGTTTACAACAAGATGAATAATTGATGTCAAATTATTTTTGTACTCGATTGATTGATCATCACAAAGCAAAACGCAAGTTAAATCAGCAAGATTATTGTATTTCTTATTTTTGAGAAACAGTCTTTTCGCTCGCTTTGGCAAAGTTGTATGCATTAGTACTTTTCTTTACTTATTTGTTTTTATCTGTTCTGTTTTCTGTTTGTTAGGTGTTGTTAATCGTTTCGGCTCGTCAGGCGGTATAAGATTGTACTTTACTTTCTTTTTACAACTTCCTATTTTTCAAAATACATTCATTCAATAGACGGAGATATGGTGGACGGGAAAATGGGATTATTTTCTTTCATGTGAAAAAAAATAATGTTTATTACATGGCCATTGCCATGAATACGTTTCTCATGGCAAAAGGAACACGAAAAAAACACATCTGCTATGCTTCTAAGTTTTCTTCAATACCACAGAAACTCAAAATTATCGAAGGTCTTCTCATCAATTCTATTAACAATTAAATGTACCGTATCATAAAAATAGTGACATGCACTGTATATAAACGCACGTAAGCATGACGATGAAATTGAACAAAATGCACTTATTCCAACACTATCAAACGTTGTGCTAGATTTATCAGTCTTGGATTTCATCTTCCTTTGTGCCTTAATGAAGTGTGGAATCTGCCTGATCTAAAAATTCATTTTGATGCAATATGCAGTACTTTTCACAAAACCTCGTGTGCGTTTCCAGAAGATCTTTAGAAAACCAGAGGATAGTTCAGACGTTTCTTCGTACTCCTTCATATTCCTCAAGTACGTGCAGAAAAAACATCAAAAATTTTTTTCCAAACAGCTTTATATGCACATCAATGGATGCAGTTTTTGATGCTGATTCTGACTATCACCTTTATTTTGATTTAAAATCAGTTTTAGGCTGTGAAAACTGGAAAACGTTGGAAAATTAGCGTCAGTCGGCCATATTGTTTGTAAAATTTGGATCTGACCTTGTACTTTTGTTTGGAAATTTTTTTATCAGATTTTGTAGCCGATTAGATTCTGTACAAAATGCAAATAGTGAGAATTGGCGGCATCTTTTTGTCTCTTCATAAACTTGCTATCAGTTGGAAAAAGGGGTTGGACAAAAACACGACTTTTTGGAAAAGACTTTTTGCACAATAATAAGTTAACTTGAAAAACAAAAAACTGGATGAATTTGTTGAGTTTCTATCAGGCTTCCGAATGCAATATTGTATGAACAGAACAGATAAAACTGGACTGAATTTTGGAGTTATAGCCAAAATTGCAGAGTTGGCTCATTCTCACAAGTTATCGCTGGCCCCCACTTTGTAAATTCTATAACTCAGTCAGATTAAGTCCGGGTAGGCAAAAAATGTATTTATAGCCCCAGTTTTGATTGTAGAATCGAATAAGATCAAAAGTATATGTCAATTTTGGTCATGTTATGGCTCGCTTGAAAAATGCCTGACGGAACCGCGCTGTCTCTCTTAATTACTTAATCCGCTCAGATAATAAAAATGGATGAACTATAATATAAAAAGAGGGATATCATATCTCACTCCACAACTCTTCGCAACAATCATGGCTATTCTCACCGGTAACCGAGAATTTTATAAATTATTAAATGATGATGATTTACTATCTCAATTCGTTCGCGACTAAAAGTTGGCTCAAAAAAGTGATGAACATACATGCCACTGCGACTCTCCGATGGTCGATGGTACAAGAAAGAAGACACTCAAAGAGTGTACTGTTAAGATCTGTCCGACAATGCGTTGTACCAATCGACAATGTCGAAATCAATTAAGTGTTCGTAAAAACACATTCTTCGAGTTGATTGATGCATTAGGTCAATCACATTCGAAGCTTGATATACGCGCAATTTTGAAATTGATATAGCTATGATGTTTGGGCACGTCAACAATTGCCACGTTAGTACATGTAACACAAATGACTGTGATTGATTGGACTAACTTTTGCGAGAAGTAAGTTTTTTGTAAAATTTCTATCACTTGTTTCTACTATTAACAAGGGGGAAAAAGCGGACTCCTGGACTCCCATGGACTGCTGGACTCCCATGGACTCCCATGCACTCCTGAAGTCCAGGAGTCCAAGAGCAAAGTGTTCTTTTTTGAGAATCACTTCCCAAAAAATGGACACTTTTGTTCTTTTTTGGGAATTACTCCCCAAAAAATGAACAATTGCTCTTTCATTTTTACAAAAAACTTACTTCTCGCAAAAGTTAGTCCAATCAATCACAGTCATTTGTGTTACATGTACTAACGTGGCAATTGTTGACGTGCCCAAACATCATAGCCATATCAATTCCAAAATGATAGCCAGTAAAAGGATGTAAACGTCTGGAGATTCCTCGG